CTCCCCTCCCCTCCCCTCCCCTCCTGTGCCCTTCCCCACAGCATCAGCTGTGCTGCCAGGCTGCTCCCAGCTCCAAAGTGGTCCCATGGCACAGAGCCTGGGGGGCAAAACCCCCTGAGGGGCTCTCTGGGGCTGTGCCAGCTCCTGTCTGCAGCAGGAGGGCCGGGCTCCCTGCCAGCACAGCCTCCCTCCTCCTCCTCCTCCTCCTCCTCCTCCTCCTCCCAGAGACTCCTTGGCAGGCAGCTCCTTCCCCCTGGGCTGCTGGAGGAGTGCAAGGTGTTTCTCATGGGAAGGGATCTTGCACCACCCCTGTGCCTGCTCCCTGCCAGCTGGCACGGGAGGGATGGGGAATGCAGGTGGAGAGCAGCAGGATGCTCTGAGAGGAACTCACCTTGAAACAGAGGCCACTGGGCTCCTTGGACACGATCACCAGCGTGGAGGGGTAGAGCACCAGGAGCCGGTCGTGCTGCTCCTGGGGAAGGGAGCAGGGAGAGGGTTGGGCTTTGTCCTCCTGACAGCAGCCTGGGGCAAGGGCTCTGGGAACAGCTGAGCTGAGCTGTTCCCTGTGCTGGGAGATGGATTTGGGAAGGGCCAGACTGCTTCCCAGTGATTGGGAAGAGCCAGGCTGCTTCCCTGTGCTCAGAGATGGATTTGGGAAGGGTCAGGCTGTTTCCCTGTACGAGGACATGGAGCACTAGTGACTTCATCCATGGATCCCTCCATCCCTCCATCATCCATGGATCCATGGATCCATCCATCATCCATTCATCATCCATCCATCCATCCATCCATCATCCATCCATCCATCCATCCATCCATCATCCATCCATCCATCCATCCATTCATCATCCACCCATCCATCCATCCATCATCCATCCATCCATCCATCCATCCATGCATCCATCCGTCCATCCATCCATCCATCATCCATCCATCATCCATCCATCCATCCATCCATCCATCACCCATTCATCATCCATCCATGGATCCATCCCTCCCTTCCTCCCCAGAGCCATGTCCTACCTGGAAGGGCAGGTGCTGGAGCTTCACCTTGGACACGCAGAGGATTTCTCCCAGGGATTCCCTCTGGGTGCCCCTCCACTCCTGCACGGGCAGGTTCTGCACGGACCAGCGCAGCTCCTCCTTGTCCCCGGCGTTCTGCGTCCAGCCGCTCTAGGGACAGACACACTGACCACCCGGCCTCCCCTGCCTTCAGCCAGGGCCTGCCCCACCTGGGGATGCTTTTCTGGTGTGGCAGGAGCAGGAAAGAAGAGATAAATCTGGGCAGGAGGCAGTTTTCCAGCTGGGAATGGATTGTCATTCTCCACACCGAGCATCACCTGGAAATGCCTTTCCAAGGGGGATATTTCTGTTTGACAAGTGGGGAGGGAATTAAAACACCCTCAGAGACTGGGAGAGACAACTCCTCTCTGTTTTCTAGGCTTCAGCCTCCTCCTCCTGATGTTTTGCAAGCTCTGGGTGGTTGCACAAGCACCCAAAAGCGTGACAGCTTCTCTGAGGCAGACCCAAGCTCTGACCCCATGGAGACTGTGCTGCTGGTGGCACCCGTGGGTGGCAGCTCTTCCTCCCAGCATATCCCCCCTGCCAGCAGCTCTCAGACCCCTCTTGCAAGCTCTTTTTGCACCCTTTTATCCCCAGGAAAGCCCCCCAAAGGGAATCTACCCCAGTTTCCCAGCTGGGAGCCAGCAGTGGGACACGGCCATGGGACACCCACCTGGGACAGCAGGGGCAAGGCCAGGCTCCCTCCACAGAGCTGGATCTGCTTCTCCAGGTGGTACAGCCACTGCTTCAGCTCGGCCTCAGACTGGCAGAACACCACCAGGGGGTTCAGCAGGGGCCCTGGGGGTGGGAGAGCCGGGGTGAGCACAGCAGAGCTGGGCAGGGATGGCAGCATCCATCGGGAGCCAGCTGGCAGAGCTGGCACACTGCTCAGCCCTCCTGAGGTGTGGGGACACCAGAGCTCTGCTGCCACCCCCCTGCAGTCCTCATGGCAGAGCTGGCACTCTGCCCATCCCTCCTCGAGGTGTGGGGACACCAGAGCTCTGCTGCCACCCCCCTGCAGCCCTCCCTGCCACCCTTTTGTCACATCAGCCTTCTCAGACACACCAAGCCCTCCCTGACCACCAGACACTTTTTAACCCCAATCCAGGCCAAGAACAAATCCCAAAGTCAGCCCAAAAGCCATGCCTGACCTCCAGAGGTGGATTTCAGCTTTCCAACCCCCCCAGCAGTTTGTGGGAAGGCTCTCTGTGGGCAGGGACTGTCCCAAGGTGCTTCTCCCTCAGCAGAAAGCCCCGTGTTATCTCCCAGTTCCACCCTGGCTCTCCAGACGTAGAACACCAGTAGCTTTCTGACACTGTTTGTTTATTTATTGCCTCACCGAATCTAACCCGTGCCAGCCAAGCTGAGGATGACTCCAGACATCCCCTCAGAGGGAGGGACAAGCCCTGCAGCTTGTTGATTCTAGAGTTTCCAGCTCTCACTCATCTCAGGGCATGAGCACAGCCTCCCACACCCTCTGCTACCTGCTCCCAACACAGCCTGCTGAGGGCAATAACCATTCCTGGCAGGATGCAGAGTGGATGTCGTGATTAATAATTTACCTCTCAGCCCACATTAAACCCTGCCTGCTGCAGGCTCAGAAGGATCTGCCTCTGTGGGACTCGAAGGTACCCAGATAAGCCCGGATAAAATGGGGGGACTTTGCCCTTCTGTGGTATCTTTAGTGCCCTAATTCCTGCATTATTTATAAACAACGTTTCACTGAGCCTTTGTAGTGTGTCTGTCTTGCAGGAAATGCAGGGTAAACAAAGCTGAGGTGGGGAAGTGGGGCAGAGACTCCTGAGTGACTCCAAACCCATGACAGCAATTTGGTGTCGAGCATTTTCTGGGCACCCACGTGTCTGCGGCTCTGGAGCTCTCCTGTTTTTTCTTCCCTTGGTTTCCCTGTGTGATGCTGCTCTTGGGCATTCCCCGGGCATCCAGCTCCTCACACCAATTATAAATGCAAATTAAAGCCAGCAGGAATCGTGCTGCCAGGGCATGACCTCCAGCTGACCCTCACCCCCGGGCACACCCCGAGGGCATCACCCATTGCCACATCTAAAGAGGGCCCAGAAGGAACAGAAAATGAGGAGAGGAACTTGGGGGACACGCTTGGGACTGGGCAGGAGGGTGCTCTGGGGGTGTCCCCGGGGCTGGCACAGGGAGCAGAGCCACCCCAGCCCCCCTCCCCAGCAGCCCCCAGACCCACCTGAGATGTGGAAAGCGTGGTCCTGCTGGCCCGGGCTCTGCCCAGCGCCCAGCTCACGCACCTCCAGCTCCTTCAGAGGCAGCAGCCCCTGGGGAAGGAGAGCAGGGGTTACTCTGGGCTCCAAACTGCAGCAGTCCTCTGAGGAATATCTTTATATTCCACTGTTTTTTTTTCTCTTTCCGTTTTAAGAGAAACCTCAGCAAAGTAATGGTGATTTAACAGGAGAAAGGCAGAGAATGGGATTGGGCCAAAAGGAAAATTGAGCTGTCCAGTTCCCAGACTCTGCATGTTCAGATTCCCACTCTGCCAAAGCCCAGGAGCAGGTGACAACTTTGTCCTCCCTCCATAAAAGATGCTAATGGCTCTAATGCCTTGGGGCACATTAATTCCTTGTTAATTCCTCCACAATTAATAAACTCAGGAGCTGTTTCTAAAGGAGTCAGGAGAGTTTGAGATGTTGTTTGTCTCCTGAATCGGGAATTTTCAGTTGAAGGCTGCCTTGGGGGTGACTGGAGAGGTTTTCCGGATGTTTTACATCAACCTCAAGTCTTCTAAAGGCTAATTAATCATTTCTAAGAGGAACTAATTTTACAGTCACCTCCCAGACATGCTCAGTTTTAGTTCCTCAGTTGTGTGGAGGAAAAGAACGTTCAGGGGCTGTTGTTTCACAGCTGTGGCTGTTTGGCTGTGGTGCAGAACAGTTCATTCATTATTTGCAACTCCCCAGCACCACCAGGTTAAAAGATTCATGAGTGGTTTGCCAGCAGAGCTCCCCGAGGCTCAGCTTTCTCTTCCCCCCTTCTCCCACAGAATAATTCATGTTGGAAAAGCCCATCCTGCAGATGGAGAACTCCCCCTAGACCCCCACGGGCACCAAGGCCGGGGGGATTTGGGGTTTCCCAAGGCTCAGCTCCCTGTGCCTGGTGCTCAGCACAAAGGTGGCTCCAGGTCACCTCCCCCCTGCTCCTACCTGTCCCTGGGCTCCTTCACCCCTGGCCCAGGTGACCCTCAGCTGCTCTGGGGACAGGCTTTGGGACAAAACACCCTTTAGGAGTTTGGCATCCCCAGGAAAGGACTTGGGGACATCTCCAGGAGTTTGTCTGCCACAGAGCCCGAAGCCCAGCTTGCCCAGGTGAGGCCCTACCTGGTAGGTGAGGCCGTTGGGACCCGTGGACTGGAAGTACAGGTAGGACTGGAACAGCTCCAGGAAGCAGCTGTTGACCTCCTGCAGAAGGGACACCTTTGGGGTTATCTCAGGACACTTTGGGGTTATCTCAGGACACCTCCCAGCCTCCCTCTGCATCCCAGGCACGGAAAAGCTGCTCCAAGGGCCACGTTTGTGCTGATGGAAGTGTCCCAGGTGCCCACGGGGATGGGAGCAGTTGGGCACCACGTGGCAGTGCCCAGAGAATTCTGCATGATCCCATTTCCCAGAATTACCCCTCCCTTCCCAATTACTCCACCATCCCTGGGCACAGAAACCCCCACAAAGAGGTGCCTCAGGTTTACCTGGCAGTACTGGAACTTAAACTTGACTTTGGAGTAATAAATAATTTTGCCCAAATTCCTGACAACCGTTTTTCTTCGGCCCTTCTTGAACAGGCTGGGGAACCTCTGGTCCAAGTTTTCCTTCTGGTTTTCCTGCTTCTGAATAATCTGTACCAAGGACACAGGGAAAAGCAGATCAGAGCTGGTGGAAGAGCCATTCCCAGAACATCTTCCCAGCAGGGATTCCTGGGAAAGGCGCCCTGGGCAGGTGCCCAGGATGGGCTGTTTGTTGTTGGGTCTCCTTGCCAACGTGGGGCCGGGGCTCCGTTGCTGCTGGGAGCTTGTGAGGAGATCCTGACCTAAAGCTGGGGCTTCTGGGCTGGAAAAGGAGGGGGGCAGAGGCACATTTCACTTTCAGGGTGTCCCAGCTCCACAGAAAAACCATCCCAGTGTGTCCTGAGTGTGCTTTCCATGGGGGGCAGTGGAAAGGTTTCTTCTGTTCTGTTTCCATCTATCTCTCAGCTCTCCCAGCTCAGATCCCACTCAGATCCCTCACTTTCTCTGGGTTCTGGGTGCCTGGCAGTTTTGGGGCAGAGCCCCACAGCCACAAAAGCAGCTGCAAGGAAGATTTTTACTGCAAAAAACCTGGAAAAGCTACAGAAAGCACCACAGGAGAGGCAGGGCTGAGGAGAGGAGGCAGCACTCGGGGCTGGGGGCTTCCCTGATTTTCTGGTTCTATGGGAATTCTTCCTTCTGTGCAGGAGCACAACCCCACACCCCTCACTTCTCCCCACCGAGGATAAAGCTCTTCCTGCTGTTTTTCTGGGAAGAACCCTTGGGTTCCTGGGGGCTGCTGGTGTCCTTGGGGAGGAGGGCAGGGCTGCACCCTGATTACTGATCCCCTCAGCTCCACACCCTCCTGCACCCGAGCTTTGCTGGGCACATCCAGACCCTGGGAATTCATTCCAAGCCAAAACTGGGTGGGCCAGGGGAGGTTTGCAGTGGTTCCCTGGGGTCCAGCAGGGCTGGTGACACCCCCAGCACGTCCCCATTGCCGCTGTGCCCGTTCCTGACCCCATTCCTGATCCCGTTCCTGCTGTGCCCTGCCAGGACAGCTGCGTGTGCCCGTGATGGATGAGGATGAGGAGCCACACCACGGACACCCAGCTCTGTCCTGCAGGGCCCCTCTGTGACTCACCCCTCTGGCATGGGGTCAGCCTGCTCCAGACATCCTGGGGAACTGGGAATGGGGCTGGGGAACTGGGAATGGAGCCAGGAATGGAGCCGGGGAACAGGGAATGGAGCTGGGAATAGAGCTGGGGAACTGGGAATGGAGCTGGGAATGGAGCCAGGAATGGACTGGGGAACTGGGAATGGAGCTGGGGAACTGGGAATGGAGCCAGGAATGGAGCCAGGGAATTGGGAATGGAGCTGGGAATGGAGCCAGGAATAGAGCTGGGGAACCAGGAAGGGAGCTGGGAATGGAGCTGGGGAACCAGGAATGGAGCTGGGGAACTGGGAATGGAGCTGGGGAAGTGGGAATGGAGCCAAAAGTGGTCAGGACCCTTTGACCTGCAGAGCACAGGGCTCCTTCCAGGGGCTCGCTGAATTTGGGTTGCTGTTTTTAGGACGTGAGTGAACCCTTTCCTGCTGAAATTCTCCCTCCAGTTTCCCAGCTGTGGAACAGAATTTAGGGAACACACTGTGTTCCCAGTAAATGTCTCACTGGGGCAGCTCAGCGTAGTAAAAATGGTATTTGTGTCACAAATGCAGAGCAAAGAGCAGCTGGTCACAGGTGCAGCAATAACAAAACACAGGATAAGGGCACCAGCAGCACCTGGGAGTGGGGAGAGGGTGAAGTGATAAAATCATGGGCACGGAGATAAGGAACAGCACCAGCCACCAGCTGCTGGGTCACTGCTGCTGCTGGGGACGTGGCAGCCAAATTTCCCAGGAATGAACAAGGCACCGAGAAGAAAAAGCAGTCTGGGAGCTGGGAATGCAGCAGCAGCGCTAGGAAAGGGCTTCCAGAGGGATCCTCCCGCAGGCAGGAGGGAGAGGGAGAGCTTCCACAGCCACTGGAATATTTCCCTCACCCAAGCAAGCCTGTGAACCTGAGGGGATGGATGTAATGGCTGAGCACAGGAGCAGCTCCAAGGCTGTGGAAAAACGGGATCACCCCTGAAATCTGCTGTCCTTCAGCTCCCAAACCATGGGAATGCCTCAGCCGAAGCTGACGAGGCCTGGCGTTCTCCCTTCCTCAGGAATCCTCCCCAGCCTGGGCTGTGTGCCCTCCTCCAGCCCCAGCCCAGCCGTTCCCGTTATCCCAGCGCTCCCAGGCACCGCCGATCCTTGCAAGCCCGGTTCCTCCCGAGGTGCAAGTGCCCTGACATGTTCTCATCCTACAGGTAGAACGAGTTACTCATTAACTGCTTGGCCCCTGCAGCCCCCGAGCCCCGCGGTGAATCAGCAGCAGGAAGAGCTCAGCTGGCAGCAGGAGCCCCGGGGCTGCTGCTCCATGGGAAAAACACCAAATGAGCGGCTCTTGGGGCACATCCTCCCCAAGGCTGTCACTGGGAGCTGTGGGAATCAGGGCAGGGGCTGCTGGAGGGGGGCAGAATGTGCAGGGTTGTCACCTGTCCCCGTCCTAAGTGGCCTGTCGTGGCAGGATGGGCGATGCCATCTCCTCTGAGGTTGCCCTGTGCTGGCAGCTCCGCAGCTGCTGCTGCTGCCAAAAACGCAGCAGGGAGAGAGGGCAAAGCCCAGGAGACTTCCAGGCCACACAGGGAGCTTGTGGCTGAGCCCCAGGTTTGCATCCCCTCTGCCCCAGAAGAGGGTAAAGGCTGAAAACCTGCTCCACCCTCCCTCCTTCCATCCCTGGAGAGATCCCACACTCCCTGGGGTGCCAAGATGAGCATTTCCCAGTGACCTCTGCCAGGATTCCTTCTCCAGGATCCACTAACTCTATCCTGCTTCCCCAGGGAAGAATCCAGGATCCATCTGGGGCCTGATTTTTGCTGCCTGATCCCTTGGGATCCAGCTGATTCCCACAGGAAGCCTTCCCTGCAATCCCCTCTGCCTGGCACTGAGGCTGTGCCTCAGTTTCCCCTTCCCCACATGAACGCCCAGCACAGCCCAAATGCTCCCAAAATTCCTGCCACACCCCCGGCCCACCCAGCAGGACCCACCAAACCCTCGGGGGCTGCTGGCTCCCCTCTGCTTTCCCCAGCAGCGCTGGGAACGGGGCCATGTGGCCACAAGGCTGGGCCGTGCCCGGGGCAGCCCTGCCCTTCCTGATTCCCTTCCCAGGCTCCTGGCTAATCCGCTCCTGCTCCGTCTCACTGCGGCGTGGGAATGAATCATCCCACCTGCCAAAGCTCGCTCGGCTTCTCCCTTCCCTCCCAGGCGACCCAGAAACAAAAGAACCCAGAGGAAAGGTGTGGGGGAGATGTCCCCACGTCCCCATGGCCCTGCTGGGCTCCCAGCAGCACCCCTGGCTGAGCCAGGTGCCTTCCACACCTGCACGGGGACCCAGCTGCTGGGATCTCATCCCATCCTGGGATCTCCTTGGGACAGAGATGCTGCTACCCCCAGACCCAAACCCAACGTCCTTCCCAAATGCTGTGCTTGGGGTGGGTGGGAATAAACCCCTGGAGCAGCAGGCAGGGGGTTGGAGGTGCTGGAACTTGCCTTGGCTGGAATATACTGCAGGATTTTGTCCGTGGTCGTGTCTCTCTCCTGGCCTCCATCTATCCCAAATAAGCTGGGCAGCTTTTTCTTGCCATTTTGTCTACAGAGGAAAAGGAAAAAAAAAAAACCAACTAAAACACACATGGAAATACAGGTCTAGGCTGAGGCATGGTGAATCCTGCCCAGAAATAAGGAAGCCAGGACAGCAAGCAAGCAATTTGTCACGGGCTTTCGAGTCATCCCAGCCCAGCCAGGGCTGACAAAGCCTGGGAGAACTGGAACAGGATTTTGCTGCATTTGTTGGGGTTTCTCTGCTTTTTTACAGCTCTTTGCTCAGCCAAATGACCAGCTTGGCTCACCTGTGCCCCCAAATCAGCACAGGGCCTGGACACAAAGACCAAACCCAGCTCCTGCAGAGCCCCTGGAGTGGGGATGGATCCTCATGACAGATATTCACAGGCAGGGTTCATTTCTGCCTTGGTGGCTTCCCCCTCCTTTCCCTCCCACTCCCAGTTTCTCCCTGTGTGCACACCAGTCCCAGGCAGCCACTGGTGCTGCTGGGAAGTGCTGGGACTTCCTCAGATTGCAGCAGAAAACCAGGATAATCCCCACGAGCGTGGGAAGCTGGGAGTCAGTGGGACAGGAGGAGCTCTGGGGCTTGGCTGCTCCACCACAGGTCCTGGTGTGAGACCCCCAGAGCACAAAGACCCAAAGACCCCTCTCTTTTACCCAAAACTCCTTGAGGGATCCCCTCTCTTTTATCCCAAACTCCCTGAGAGATCCCCTCTCTTTTACCCTGAACTCTCTGATGGATCCAATCTCTTTTCCCCCAAACTCCCCAAAGGATCTTTTTTACCCCAAATTCCCCAAGGGATTCCCTCTCTTTTATCCAAAACTCCTTGAGGGATCCCCTCTCTTTTTCCCCAAACACCCCAAGGGATCCCCTCTCTTTTTCCCCAAACTCCCTGAAGGATCCCTTCTTTTTTACCCCAAATTCCCCAAGAGATCCCCCCTCTTTTACCCCACAGGAACTCCTCAGGCTCCTACAGGTTTGCCCCCGATTTCTGGCAGCACAGGACACGAAGGGGACAGTTCAGGGTCTCCTTTCAATCAGAAACCCCTCAGCCTGGCAGAGTTTAGGGGCTTTTTGGCACAGCCCTGGCACTGAACTCAACACAGACAGGTTCATGAGGAATCACCTGGTTCCCTGCAGAACTCTTTTCCAGCTCTGACCGTGCTGATGGGAGCAGTGGGAAAGCTGGGAAGCTGCAGTGCATTCCCTGGCTGTCCCTATTTTGGGACAGCCACCCACGGCTGTGGTACCTGAGCACTGCCCTGGCCAGCCCAGCACCCAAATCCCAAAGGATTTCACGAAGGTTTTCTGCTCCTTTGGGTCCCAAATCCCCAAAGAATTTCATGGAAGTTTTCTGCTCCTTTGGGTCCCAAATCCCCAAAGGATTTCATGGAAGTTTTCTGCTCCTTTGGGTCCCAAATCCCCAAAGGATTTCACGGGAGTTTTCTGCTCCTTTGGGTTTACAAACACAAATCCTACAGCGGGGTGCTGGGATTTGGGGCTTTCTCCCTAAAGCCCGAGGAGTGGCAATGTTGTTTTCTCTCAACAGCACCACAACTGTGAATAAGAACACTCACAAGTGAAAACAGGGAATATCAGGTGCTCTGCACCCTGTCCCGCCGAGGGAAGCTTAATTACCCAAACAAAAATTAACTCAGCGGCGCTTCTCCCGTTCCCTGCCGGCTGAGAATTCCATCCCAGGCACCGGGGCGAACTGGTCCCGGGGTCTGGCAGTGCCCAGCACCCCCGAAACCACCGGGAATAGGAAATCCCCTGCCGGGAGAGATCCCGCAGGAGATGCAGCCCCGCTCCCACATCCCAGAGCCGGAGGGGGTTACTCACTCCTTCTTCAGCGAGGGTTTCCTTCGGAAGGAGCTCCTGAAGCCGCCGGGAGCCTGCGGGACACAGGCGATGTTCCCCATGCCGGGATCGCTGCGGGACCGCTCCCGGCCGCTGCTCTCCGCCCGCCGGGACTCGAGTGGGTGTGGGCAGAGCCCGGAGCCGATCCTGCCCCTCGCTCCCGCCCCGCGGGCTGGGAGGGGCGGGCCAGGTACCTGTTCCTGGGAATCCGCCCGAGCCACCGGCGGCACGGGGCTGCGGCCGCCGGGAATCCCGTCCCGAGCGCTCTCCCGAACTGAATTCGGCCGGTAAACCCATCCCGAGCGTTCTCCCGAATTGAATTCTGCCCAGAAACCCATCTCGAGCGCTCTCCCGAACTGAATTCTGCCCAGAAACCCATCCCGAGCGTTCTCCCGAATTGGATTCTGCCCAGAAACCCATCCCGAGCGGTCTCCCGAATTGAATTCTGCCCAGAAATCCACCTCGGAGCGTTCTCCCAAAAGGAATTCGGCCGATAAACCCATCCTGGAGAGTTCTCCCAAAAGGAATTCTGCCCAGAAACCCATCCCGGAGCGCTCTCCCGAATTTAATTTTGCCCAGAAACCCATCCCGGAGCGTTCTCCCAAAAGGAATTCGGCCGATAAACCCATCCTGGAGAGTTCTCCCAAAAGGAATTCTGCCCAGAAACCCATCCCGGTACTTCTTCCCGAAAGGAATTCGGCCGATAATCCCATCCCGGAGCATTTTCCCAAAAGGAATTTGTCTGTTTAACCCATCCCGGAGCGTTTTCCCAGAAGGAATTCGTCCCAGAAACCCATCCTAGAGCATTCTCCCGAAAGGAATTTGGGCGATTAACCCACCCTGGAGCGTTTTCCCAGAAGGAATTCAGCCGACAATCCAATCCCATCCTGCAGCATTTTCCCAAAAAGAAATTGGGCCGATAATCCCATCCCAGAGCATTATCCGAAAAGGAATTGGGTCGATAATCCCATCCCAGAGCATTATCCGAAAAGGAATTGGGCCGATAATCCCATCCCAGAGCGTTTTCCCAAAAGGAATTGGGCCTGCTGCACTGGCGGAGATAAGGATGCAGTGAAATAAAGTTGGTGGTTGTTGTTTAAGCATTAACAAAAATCCCCAGGGTTGAAGGGTTCCAAAGGGTTCCCCCTTCCCAGCAGGGTTAAAGATATAAAAATAAATGGGGGAAAAAAAAATCAAACTGGACACTAATCAAAATCTAGGAATGGTGGGAAATGGATCAAGGGAGCAAAGAGCAAAAGGAGATGTGCACGAGCAGCAAAAAAAGAATATTTGTAGAAGAAATGCTTTAAAAGGAAGCAAACTGAAGATTTCTGACTGTGCTGTGAGTGCCTCACTGCATGGAAATATAAACAATAAAAATGAGAAGTTAATGACAAAAGGTAAATGCAGACTCAATGTTTCTGTGGTGGAAAAAAACCCCAGGAGTTACAGCCATAGGAAACGAGAAACCCTTTTTATTTTCAGGTGACAGCTAAGAGGTAAACACAAAATGAATGCTCTGGATCAAAAAATAGAATTCACATTAGAAAGTTTGAAAGAGCTGAACACAAAGGGTTTGAGTCACTGTTGCAATTCAGTCTTGCAGGACCATGGAATTTGCAAAGAAATTGCATAATTTAACAGGGATATCAGTGTTTCCATGGGTAAAAAACCACCCCGGTAATTATGGGGTTGCCAGTTGACAGTAATTCCTGGGAAAATGATGTAACAGCTGTGAGGGAGTTGGATTAACTTTGAGAATTACAGGAGGAGAATATAATTAATACAAATCAACACGGGGCTGTGGGAATCAGATCTTGTCAAAACTAATTGAATTGATGGCACGTTCGGAAAAAAATCAGATTTAGTGAACATAAATACCAGTGATGTAATTAACACCAAAAAGGATGTGGTGTGACAAATCTACAGGTTATTTTAGGAGGTTTTCCTGGAGAATCTGTTGGAATCAAGCTGGGGTTGGTTGATAGACACACAGGGGGTGTTGGACTGTTCCCATTTGTGGTGGTTTCACCCTTGCAGTAACAAAATATTCCCCAAAAAGGGATTGCACGGTCAGGCCACACTCGCCGGGAGAGAGCAGCTGAGAACGGATGTGCCATAAAATTTCTCCCCATTTTTGACCTTTAAAATCAGCTCCTTTTCCCCCCTCCCCTTGGTGCCCAGAATCCATTAACCCTTCCTGGCCCAGCACAACACCCCTCTGGAGGGCCCCCACCACAAATTCCGTGATTTTCATGGCAGGGGCTGCTCTCTGCTCTCCGCACAGCTGGCAAACAGCACAACAACAGCCCAGCACCTCCTGGCCGTGGTCAGACCCTGCAGCAAACAGCCCCGGCTGTGTTCTGTGCAGAAAAGTGTGATTCCTCCTCGGATCCGTGGCTAACACGCTCAGGCCGTGACCACAAACGTGCTGTTCCTCCAGTTGGTTCTAAATAAAACCTCCCAGCTCAGAGCAGGGGCACAAGTGCTGCTGCTGCTGCCTGTCCTGCTGCTGTCACAGGTCCTGTCTGCTCACTGGGACAGCAGTGACACCAGCAGGGCTGGCAGGGCCAGGTGGCACTGGTGCCTTGAGAGGCTGACCTGGAACAGAGGCTGGACAGTTAAAGGAATAAAGTGGGTTTTAAAATAAATAAAGGAAGTTAAGGGCTAGACAGAGTTAAAGGAATAAAGTGGGGATTTATTAAAAGGCCTTAAAAAGGATACAACTCGGGCAGTACAAGAGCCTGGCCAGGTCTACACCCAAGGTGGACTCCAAGTCATGGGTTTTCACACTTTTATCAGTTTTGGTCCATTTCCATATTGGGTTAACTGTCCAATTCCAGCTCCAGGGGATGCAGTCCCACCCTCCCACTTTGCTCTCCTCCATTCCCTGTTGTTTTACACTTTTTGGGCATGGAGCTGCAGCAGTGTCCTTGGTTCTGGGGCTGGAAAAGGATTGTTTTGTGTGACTGAGCTGCGAGGAAAACTTGCTAACACTTTATATGAAGCTCAGGGTTATATCCCAATGCAGTACAGAATGTGGAAAATGTGAAAGCTCAAACTTAAGGCATTACACCAGAGGTTGAGGACAGGCCTGTCACCAGCGTGAGGGCACAAAGCTCTCCCAGAGCCCCTGGATCTGCTCCCAGGAGAGCCTGAATGGTTGGGCAGCAGCCCCCCTGCACTCCAGGAAGGCTTTTAGAGCTTTCAGTTATTTATAGAAGCCAAAGCAGGAGCAGCAGGAAAGGGGACACGAGGGGCTGCAGCCGGGCCAGGCATTCCGGCTCCCCCTCAGGCCTCAGGGCTGGTGCCAGCAGCTCCTGCAGGCCCTGAGATGGCCTCAGCATTCTCCTCCTGGGGAAAAGCTCTGAATGGTCTCAGCATTCCCATCATGGGGAAAAGCTCTGAAATGGCCTCAGCATTCCCATCATGGGGCAGAAGCTCTGAAATGGCCTCAGCATTCCCCTCCTGAGGAAAAGCTCTGAGATGGCCTCAGCATTGCCATCATGGGGCAGAAACTCTGAAATGGCCTCAGCATTCTCCTGCTGGGGCAAAAGCTCTGAAATGGCCTCAGTGTTCCCATCCTGGGGCAGCAGCTCTGAAATGGCCTCAGCATTCCCATAATGGAGCAGCAGCTCTGAAATGGGAATACAAAGCCCCTCACACCCACCCAGGCCCCAAACACCCTCAGCTGAGCCTGGGGTTGGGATTGGGCAAAAAGCTGCTCCTTTTAGCTCAGCTGTGCCACAGCAGAGCCTTCCAAAGTGGTTTGGGCCCCTCTGGCTTCCTCTACCAACACCCCCACCAGCAGGGCCAGTCCCGGCTGGGCTCCAGATGGGAGTTCTGAGCCTCAAAGCCTGCACCCAGGCAGATGAGAGCTCACAGAATCACATCCCAAGTCACAAGGGATCCACTAGATCAGAGTCCAACCCCTGGCCCTGCCCAGACACCCCAACAACCCTACCCTGAGAGCATTGCCCAAATGCCCCTGGAGCTCTGGGACCCCTTCCCTGGGCAGCCTGGGCAGTGTCCAACACTCTCTGGGGAAGAACTTTTCCCTGATCTCCATCCCAAACCCTCCCCTGACACAACCTGAACCTCCCCTGGCTGCTCAGGCAGATGCAGAGCAGTGCACCCTCTGCCTGGGATCCCTGCCCTGGCTGGAACCAGGAGCAGCCCCAGGAGCCAGCCAGGGAAGGGAAGGGAGAGTGAAGGATGCACGAGGCAGGATCCGATATCCAAGAAAATGTCTTTATTGTACACGTTGGCTTCTATTGCTTGTATCCCCTCCCCAGTCCCACGTAGTGCAAAAAATTCAGAGAAACAGAGTTCCACATAAATAAAGTCGGATAAGTTACAGAGAAATCAAAGTGACAACGCTTGGACATGGATCTGGACCAGGTGTGCCCAGCAGGGAGGCCAAGGGAGCCTCTGCCCCCAAATCAGGGCAGGGGCTCCTGCCTGGCCCTGCTGGGAAAAACCCCAGAATCCGGAGCCCCCTGGCTTGGGGATGCTCCTCTGCTGGGAATTCAGACAAGGAACATCTTGGGTGAGACACCACGGACTAAAACTGGCAGGGAAGCCACACAGAGTTGTTCTCCTCCCCTCAGACAGGGTTGCTACGCACAGACAGACAGACACAGACACGCGTCCCCTCCGAGCTCTCCTCCTCCTCCTCCTCCTCCTCGGCAGGGGACGTGCAGCACCAGGAGCAATCCCACCCTGGCATCTCCCAGGGCAGGTGCTGACACCTTGTGTCCACACAGTGTGGGTCGGGGGGCTCGGGACCCCCAGAAGATGCTGGGGAATTGTTTTGCCCTTTTCCTGCATAGTTTGGGCAGCAGAGACAGGAGGCTCCCTCCTCGCCGGGTTCCCATGGGTCAGGCTCAGTGGGATATTGCTCAGGGCCCAGCCAGGGGGGACAGGAGTCACTCTGCCCTGTCCCTGCTCCTCAGGAAGCAGGACAGCACCACACAGGATTTGCAGTGTGGCCGCTGAGGATCCCAACGGAAGCCAAGGGCACGTGGCACCAAAATTCTCCCAGCTGCTGCATTTTTCACTTCCCTCAGGTTTTGCTCCCAAGGCACAGCTCCCTCTC